AAGTCTACCATGTGTAATTAGAAGACTTAGTCTTGTTAAAATATCAATACAACCCAAAGCATTCTATAGGTTCAATGCAATCCTTACCAAAATCCCCATGACATTCTTTTTAGAAATAGAAAAACCCACCTTAAAATTCATATGGAATCTCAAAGACTCTGAATAGTCAAAATAATCTTGAAAAGGAAGAACAAAGCTAGAGGACTCACACTTACTGATTTCAAAACTTACTATAAAGCTACAGTAACCAGAACAGTGTGTTACTGGCCTGAAGCTATACAGACAAATGAAATAGAATATGAGCTTGGAAATAAATTTTGACATACATATCCAAAGGTTTGGTAGAATCATATATACAGGATTAAAGAGGGAACTGGCCAGGAGAAACATTTTCCACATGATTCTACAGAGCATAAATACTTACACAATTATCTCCCATCAACCCTGCTGCCAAAAAGTTTTCTCTTAATCCTTAAGACCAAGAGGAGCCATGACAAGATTTAAAGTAGACATTTGCTTTTGAAAAACACCTCTGTGTGCAGTGGAGAAGATGGACCCATCTTAATGAATAAATGAAAAGAGTTATGGAGATGAATGGTGGTGATGGTTGCACAACATTATAAATAGAACCACTAAATCGTACATTTAAAAGATGGCAAATTTTATAACTGTATTTTACCACTATTAAAAAAACTGAAAGAAAAAAAGTCTGCCATGTTTAAGACATTATATTTAGCATTGTAATAAGGTGTTATTAGGTACTGTATTATGTACTATATTGTCCCCTTCAATATGTGAGACAAAATGAATTAATCTAAACAAAGAAAATAACAAAAAGCTTTGTGAATACCAATGTACTCAGTGAGTATAAGAAAACGAGATTGAGAGCCTAAAATAAATTAAATCAAATCTGGTCCTCCCGTCTTCTCATCAGCATACAAGCCATCCTGATTTTATCCCTTCTCTCCAAAATAAAATAAAACCACAACCACATGCAAACTCTTTTGAGCTAAGTGTTTATACATTAGCTTATTGATTATGAACTGGAGTGCTAAAAATACTTTCAGGCACATAGAGATGAACAGAATTAGGATGTCCTTCAATGAAGCAAAAAAGATGGATCATACCAATAACCTACCTGTTACAACCAAGTATAGACAAAAGGAAAAAGAATAGATTTTAAAAACCATCTAAAATGCTGAGTAGTGGAAATGAAGGTCAAGGTCTGCTGTCTTTGCATGCTAACTCATTTCATCTCCATGTTCATGTCCTCTTGACTTCTCTGTAAAAATGGCACTGTCTTACAAAGACAGCATATCAGAAAAAGCTGCCAGGCTATTTTTTTTTTTTTTTTTTTTTTTTTTTTGGAGACGAGTCTCAGTCTTCACCCAGGCTGGAGTGCAGTGGCCCAATCTCAGCACACTGTAACCTCCGCCTTGAGGGTTCAAGCAATTCTCCTGAGTAGCTGGGACTACAGTCGCCTGTCACCATGCCCGCCTAATTTTTGTATTTTTAGTAGAGGTGGAGTTTAACCATATTTGCCAGGCTGGTCTTGAACTACTGACTTCGTGATCCGCCCACCTCGGTCTCCCAAAGTGCTGGGATTACAGGCATGAGCCACTGCGCCCAGCCCAGGCTATTTTTTTTAACTTGCTTTTCTCCTAAAGCACCTTTACAGGCTCCTAACATGCATATATCATAGAACTTAATCTGGCTTCAGAAACACTTGGATTAAAAAAAAAGATTTCTTTTTTTTTTTTTTTTTTTGAGACGGAGTTTCACTCATGTTACCCAGGCTGGAGTGCAATGGCGCGATCTCGGCTCACCGTAACCTCCGCCCCCTGGGTTCAGGCAATTCTCCTGCCCCAGCCTCCTGAATAGCTGGGATTACAGGCACGCGCCACCATGCCCAGCTAATGTTTTGTATTTTTAGTAGAGACGGGGTTTCACCATGTTGACCAGGATGGTCTCGATCTCTTGACCTCGTGATCCACCCGCCTCGGCCTCCCAAAGTGCTGGGATTACAGGCTTGAGCCACCGCGCCCGGCAAAAAAAAGATTTCTTTATATGATCACAGGATAAACACAGGCATACATTCCTAAACAGCATATCAAAATCAACAAACAACTTTTAAAGAAAGATTTAAAATAATGAAATATTCTAAAAGTGAGTATGTTTATCATAATACCAATAGAAGTAGCACATCATAATACTAATAGAAGCAGCACATCAGTGGCACATTGGCAGTGGTGGTGGCAGTGGCAGCAATTGCCATTTACTGTTTTCTCATTGCCAGGAAGGGGTGCTTTATGAACCTCTCATTTAATCATCATCACAATTCTTTGGGTTTGATGTTAATGCAGAACCATACACTATACTATCTAGGGTCACCTATTTCAAAATAACTTTTAAAAATGGAATTTGAGATGTTACTTCACTACAGAAGAGCAGAATTTGGCAGATGAGACAATTCCAGTAAGCTTCCTAAAATAGCATTTTGAGGTTAGTGCAGTTTTCACTGTATTTAAATGGATTAGCCTAGAGTCATTACTGCTCAAAATGATACTAATCACTCTAATTCTGATTAAAGGAACATGCAAGGCCATTCCAGATAAACTGTTAAGTCAGCAGAAACCTCAATCTCCCAGGAAAGCCTTTGAGAAATACTCATAAATCCAGTCTGTGATTCTAGGGATACTTCTTATTTATAGTGAAGCTAATAGATTTTTATCCAAGTAACTTTTAAGATAAAAAGTGAATTTAAAGAAAAAAGCAAGCATCACTAAGGAAAATTTAAAATCTGATTACTTTTTTAAAAATTTTATTTTAAAAACCTCTATTATATAGTTTTGCTCTCTTTCAACAAATACTGTGGACTGTGTTAAGGTATTAAATTCATTATTCAGAGAAAGCTTTGGCAATGTATTTGTGACTAGTATAGCCATTTCAGTCAAAATGCTTTCCTTTCACATCCTTGTATGATGATTTAATTTGTGATATCCTGATTTCTTTAAAAAAATCAATTTACTCTTGGGCTTATAAGCCATTTTCTCTTAGTTTTAGGGTCTAAATTTCTAGTCTCTCTTAATTACAAAAAAAATTATAGTGGGTCAAAATGCTTAATAAAATCTTGTTAGGATATGATTTATTGCAGTTAATCCGATTTTTTTTAAAGGCACTGTCTTACGAAAATTAAAGGAATGTTTGATTTGCAGCTACAGAGAAAAATTACACTTTTTAATCAAGAAGAAAACAATCTTTGGACAGGCTGCATGGCAGGGAGTACCCTGAGATAACCTACCAACAAATTCAGTACAATATCAAATAAGTTGCTGATCACAAATAGAATTTGGATTTGACTGAAAAATAATAATTAAACACGTTTCATTTTACACTCTGGCTGTTTCTCTGCAAAGTTTTACTTAAGCTGTATTTTGGAAAACTGAATATTCTAAGTGTTCAAAAGGTAATTTCTACCATTAAGAACAACGTTATGTTAAATTCTTTGTAGAGTTAATGCCAAAGTAATTTGTTTGCAGATATTAATTTATTTGAATTGTTTAAAATGCTACTTGCATTCATAGAGAATAAAGCACCATGAGTATCATGATGAAGTCAGAACTCTTGTTATTATAATCTAATCCAGAATGGAAAGAGAACTGGAAAAATGCATTTATTCTTATTCAGTTGTTCTCAGAGTACAATAAATTTTTACAGCAGTCCATTAATAGTTCTAACAGACACATCATAAAATTTGAACTATTTTATTTGAGGCAGGGTCTCACTTTGTCACTAAGGCTGGAGTGCAGTGGTGCAATCTCAGCTCATGGCAACTTTTGCCTCCCGAGGTTCAAGAAATTCTCCCACCTCAGCCTCCCAAGTAGCTGGGACCACAGATGTGCACCACCACAACTGGCTAATTTTTGTATTTTCAGTAGAGATAGGGTTTTGCCATGTTGCCCAGGCTGAGCTCAACTGATCTATATGCCTCAGCCTCCCAAAGTACTAGAATTACAGGCATGGGCGATGGCACCCAGCTGAACTATTTTTTATTGATTGGTTGATTGACTGATTGATTGAGACGGAGTCTCACTCTGTTGCCTAGGCTGGAGTTCAGTGGTGTGGCCTTGGCTCACTGCAACCTCCATCTCCTAGGTTCAGTGATTCTCCTGCCTCAGCCTCTGGAGTAGCTAGGATCACAGGGATGTGCTACCATGCCCAGCTACTTTTATTGTATTTTCAGTAGAGATGAGGTTTCACCATGTTGGCCAGCCTGGTCTCTAGCGCCTGACCTCAAGTGATCTACCCACCTCGGCCTCTCAAAGTGCTAGGATTACAGGTGTGAGCCACCACGCCTGGCCTATTTCATATATTTTAACACTAGACGCTGTGACTTAATTCTTACAAGTTTTTTTTTTTAAAAAAAAAAACTATCATTCCCAAAATATGTACTTTTTGGTAAATACTCTTCAAATAAAATTAGTGAGAGTATTGGCTAAATGTAGTAATTAAAAGCAGGTTTTAAATCCTGGCTATTTCACATGTTAGGGCTGTATGATCTCAGAGAAATTGCTTTATCTTTCTATCCTCAGTTTTCTCATCTATTGAAAGGGAAAAGCTGCAGAATCTACCTTGTAATGTTGGGGTGGTGATTAAAAGAAGTTAATCTTTATAAAGCACTTAGCACAATACCATAGAATAAGAGCTCAATAAATGTGTACTATGTTTTTCTGGATAAAACCAAGAACAATAACTATCTGTGACATTTGCAACAAATGCCAAATTCTCTACTCTTGTTGACCCTCGATATAAGAAAGTCAAAGGGGGCAGAATAAAAATTTCTCATTGGGGCATGGTAATGATTTCTGACCTACCAGTTACCTGATTTACTGTAATATTTTCACTTTCTTGTGTTTATAACAAACAATTGAAATTAGATGCATGAAACCAACAGGAATTGATGATGTCCTTCATTGAGATATCATACAGAGCTTACCCACCTGTGTAGCTCTTCTGTTTTGTCTTCAGTTGGACCTACGATTAGTAAACAATGACGAAGGACAGCTGCCATTACACGAAACTGATGAGAATCACTCTATGGCAAATAAAAAAGAGGAGAGGAAAAATTGGGGGTTGAATGCCTTAACAGAGGGATCTGCTACATTGCTAAATCTCTCGCCCACCCCAAACATTCTTATACCATACATTGTAAATGGTAGATTATCCAACGAAGAATTCCAGAGGCAATACTAAGTAAACAGTCACTATCTCATATGAACAACTACAACCACTTCCAGAAATGTTGAAATAGCCACTCTGGTTTACCTTCTTAAGATTCAATTCCACTGGAGATTTTTTCATTTCCAAAAAGCCTAAGTTTGTTTGTTCTATGGTACAGTGTTATAGTTTACTAGTCATTATAAAAGTTCCAACAGATGTGATGCTAACCAGGTATTTCAGAGGCTGGTTATACATCCTTAATAAAAATGTCTCATCTCTTAAATTTCAAAGCAATAGATCCACCAACTTCATTTTAATTAATTTTAATATCCTAATTCCCTCAAAACTACCAGCAAGTAATGAAAAACAAGTGATCTCCAATGTTTACTCATTGGCAGTGGTATTAAAGAGACACAGGGAGTTAGAGGGAAGAAGACAAACAATAGGAAATAACTAAGCCCTGAATAATCATTTGGTTTACTTCTTCATTTTTAGTGAGATCGTGGGCCATTATACTTTCTTTAATTATCTGCATGAAAGTTATATCTTTCTTCTTCCAGATTTTAAATAGTTAAGAAGACACATGAAATTAGAGATAACTATGATAGCCTGGATATGTCATATTTCAGGAAGACTTCAACTACCTCAAAAACTACTAAAAAATTATAAAACTTCTTAACACATTGTTGATTTCAAGTCCACGTGAAGTGATATATTTTCATAAATTATACACATATATCCTATATTTATACATAGAATTCACATAGCCCTTCTAGGAAGATGTTGCTCACAAAATCTAGCAAGTAATTGGGGTACACTTTCACAACTCATAATGTGGACAATAATATTTTAAACATAAAATCATCATGTATAGAGTTGGAGGAGAAGAGGGCCTCAGTGGCCTAAATGAAATAAAGGCACTGCACTCGGGGTCATGAGTCTAGATTGTCACTTTAGACAAGTCATATCGTTTCTCTGAGCCGCAGTTTCCCCACATGAATCTCCAAATACTGGAGGGTTCTGTCAGGGTTACAAAGGATTAAAGAAAATGATACGCATAAAAGTACTTTAATACTTTCAATAAAACATTTGAAAGTTAGGGAGAAGTATAACAGAAGAAGGGAACAAAAGGCAAGTCTGATAGAGCTGAAACAAATGATAAATAATTGTAGGGGGAAAGGGAAAAAACAAAGAGGGACTAGTTATGACAGAGACACTAAAACGGCAGGGTTGGAAAGAATGTTGTCCCATTCAATATCCATCTCAAACATCTGAATAAAAATTCTCTCATATGTTAAATACCCATGTGAAACACATCCATTACTGAACTCTTGATAAGATCATATGTCCCTTGGGTTTTAAAAATTAACTAGGAAATACGCTTCCTTTCAAATTAGATTTTCCTTTATTTTAGATAAAATAATCTTTCTCTTTTATGCTAATGTTGACAGCCTTTTGTAAATCTATCCATTTTGGTCTTTCCATTATTTGCAGCTGCAAACCAAAAATTCTACTTTTTACCCTAGTTACGCCTTTTCCAGTTTTGATAACATCAACTCCTAAGTTGCGCCCTGTGTCTACAATACCCTCTCTTACTCTAAATCCACTAAATTATCTCCATTTCTCTACTTAAAACAACTACTAAAATCCCTGGATTGTTTGCCTCTGCTCTTTGTATCGCTGATTCCTTTGTGTACTCCAGGTCTCAGCTAAAGCACCTTCTCAAAGAAGATTCTTCTTTCTCTCATGAAATCATAATTTGTAACTTCACCTTTGTTTACTTGCATATACTTTGTTTCCTCCACTAATCTATTACCTTAATGAGGAAAGAGGGTGTGTGTTTAATAGGTCATCAATGAATTTTAATGTAAATGTTATGTATAATGTACATACAGGAAAGTACCCAAATCATTAGTGTACAGCTAAATTTTCACAAAATGAGCACAGTCATACAACCAGTATAAAAATCATGTAATGCCAAAATTAAGAATCTCAGAATTTTCCCCATATCCCCTTCAAATGACCTTGTTAATGTTACAGGTTAGTATTTTGGTTGTTATTGAACTTTATATGTATGGAATCATAAAATACATATTCTTGTGTTGGCTTCTGAGATTCATTCACATTCCTCTGTCTAGTTGCAGTGTGTTATTTTTCACTGTTTGAGAGCAGTGCTATTTGAAGTATGTTTGCGTACCACTGCTGGTCCACATCCTGTTCATCACTGATCCGCAACACCATGAGTACGGAAGGTATGCGTGAACATTTAGAAACTTCTGAGCAGTTTGGCATTGTGTGTAATACTGTATTATACAAGAGTTGCATTCTGACAGATTTTTAGGGAAAAAAATCTGGTCCTTCACTACAGATAAGAAAGCACTGCTGAACCTAAGTACAATTAAAAAAAAAAAGAAAGAAAAGAAAGCACTGCTGTATAGTATTTCAATATATAAATATGCCACAATTTACTTTTATCTACTCCTGATTGACACTTGGACTGTTTCCAGCACGGGGCTATCTTGAAAAATGCTGCTGTGAACCTACTTTTTACATGTTATTTGATATCTACAGGTACACACACTAGAGAAGAGATGCTGAGTCACAAGTTATATCCATATGACAAGCTTTACAAGGTACTGCAAAACTGAAGTGCTTTTTACCCATTTATACCCCACCAGTGGCTCTAGAGGGGCACCATTACTTGTTATAGTCAGCCTTTTTAATCAGTTATAGTTATGGTCATTCTCATGGACATGTAGTGATTTCTTATTTGTAGTATGCATTTTTCTGGTGACTAATAAAGTTGAACACCTTTTCATATGTTTATTAGTCATTTGGATATCTCTTTTGTGAAGTTCCTGTTTAAGCCTTTTGCTTATTTTTCTACTGGGTTGTCTGATTTTTATTTTTATGGGTTTGTAGGACTTTTTAATGTATTCTGAAGACAGTCATCGCACATTTGTTCTCCTCCAGTGTCCTGTCTTTTTGCTTCTTTTGATGAACTCACTTTAATAAAGATTGTTTTGTTATTTCTTTCCTTTATGGTTTGATCCTTATTTTGTCCTGTTTTAGAAATCTTTGCTTATTTACAAAATACCTTCCTTGCATGAGATAAAGTCATGAAGATACTCTTCACTAAGCTTTATTATTTTACCTTGTATATTTAGGTCTCTTATTCATCTCAAATTAAATTTTTACATCTGGTATAATATAGGGATTCAAATTCATTTTTTTCCATATGGCCATACAATTGATAAAGCCCCATTTATTAAAATGCCCATTCTTTCACTATTGCACTTCATTGTTACTTGTATCATAAGTCAGCTGACTGTATCAACTCTGTTCTAGCCCATTCGTCTATGTCTCAATAAATATTTGTTGGATGAGTGCTATCATTTAAGAAGTCTTAACAAAACTTAAAGTAAACACTATTTTCTACTGTTCGTTATTCTACTGTGTGACTTTCCATAAGCAGTTTAAACTCTCTGATCTTCACTGTCCTCATTTGTCAAATGGGGTTAATGCTACTGTATCACAAGGATACCAGAAATGAAATGCAATTGTTTTTCATAAAACATTATACAAACACAGCTTATACAACTGTTTATTAATTGCTTCCTAATTTAGTTTTGCTATTTTCAGGGCATCAATATTCTCTCCTCCTGAAATGATATCACCTTCAAAGGATGAGAGAGAAAATAAGTCCATAAGGATGAAGGGTAAAGGAAGAGAAAGAGACCAAGCAGGCTTGGTTGTGATAGTGAAAATCAAAATGAGATAACATTAAAAGACAGAAAAAAAAAAACTCAGGAAATTCACTGGGATCTTCTTTACACAGTTTTCATCTTAATCACAGATTAAGAAGCTTTCATCTTAATTACAGATTCCACTACTTATATGTCCTTCAAAGTCTCTAAAATAATCATGGAACTAACCTCTTTTGTTACAATGTGACATTCCTAATTAACTTCTATGGACACTGTTTTATCTTATTCAGATGGTATCCTTTGACTACTCAGATACTTGTATTTCTCTGTTTGCACTTGGCTGTCTGTTTCTAACATGTCTGCTGGTCTGTACTTTCTTATTACACTGCACTGATACCCTGGAAGCACTGGAGAAGCGAGTGTGGTCTAGGGATCCCTAACAGTCCCTGGAATAACATGCTCTATTCCATCAACAGAGACATTTAGAAAAGTGTTAAAGCAGGAGGAAGACAAGACCATTTCAATCAACTTTTCTAAAACTGACTTTATATCCTGCTAAAGAAATCAACTGGCCTTTTAAAACACAGTGTCTTTAGGAAAGGGAGAGAGAGGCTGATTCCACATGTTGAAATAAGTCTAGCTACATTTCCCACTGAATGGAAAGCAAACTCCAAATTAATCTGCTGATGGCATCAGAAAGCAGGCACGAATTTAACATTGAGGCATGAATCTAAAATGAACAAATTGCACTAATTTGCTAAACCTCAAGAAAAGCCTAGTCATTAATTTTCTATTTTTGGTGAACTGTAAATGAAAGTGGTCATAAAAATAACTAAAACAGTTTAAAGCCAAAACCAAACGTTTGTATTTTCTGTAACTGTCAAGATGTGAAATAGGCAAAGATTTAAAAAGTGAAATGCCCAGGGTTTGAAAAGGTATAACCCAGTAATATTTTTCTGAAGGTAAAATTAGCAACATATATAAAAACATCTTAAAACTTTGAAACCTTCTGGCCTGCCAATTTCAGGAACATATCCACAAAGATTTTATAAGAAAAATCACTGGAATTTAAGACAGCAAGCAACTGTAAACAACGTTAAGTGTCTTCAAAGGGAGATGTGTTAAAACTTGATGTATCTTTCTTTTTTTTTCTGAGACACTGTTACCCAGGCAGGAGTGCAGTGGCATAACCATGCAGCCTTAACCTTCTGGGCTCAAGTGATCCTCCCATCTCAGCCTCCCAAGTAGTTAGGACTACACACACATGCCACAATGCCTGAATAATTTTTAATCTTTTTTTTATTTTTCTGTAGAGATTAAGTCTCATTATGTTGCCCAGGCTGGTCTCAAACTCCTGTGCTGAAGCCTCCCAAAGTGCTAGGATTACAGGCATGAGCCACCACTGCACCCAGCGATATTCTTCATTTTTCATAGATCTGTTTATACATATTAGTATGTATTATTTCACAAGAAGGTAGAAGGTGGTTGTCAAAAATTTCTTTTTGGTTGCAGAACCCTTTTTATACCCAAATTAAATCTTAATTACAACCTATATTTAAAGAAAATCAATAGCAATAGCAACAACAATTGGTGCTCTTTATTTAAAGTAAGGATGAGGAACTGGGAACACTGTCCACTTACTCCCAGAGGCCACTCCTAGGAACCTGATGGCTTAAAGAAACATATTTTGAAAACCTACTCTTTATAAACTTTTATTGTGAAGAAAAAAGACTAAGATTGTTAAATGATTGCATTTTTGTAAAAATTTACATCTATATGTTTGTTTATATATTATACAATGAAGAATAGTTAGAAAGATACACACCAGCCGGGCATGGTGGCTCACGCCTGTAATCCCAGCACTTTGGGAGGCCCAGGCAAGCAGATCACCTGAGGTCGGGAGTTTGAGACCAGCCTGACCAACATGGAGAAACCCAATCTCTACTAGAAACACAAAAATTAGCCAGGTGTGGTGGTGCATGCCTGTGATCCCAGCTACTCAGGAGGCTGGGGCAGGAGAATCACTTGAACCCAGGAGGCGGAGGTTGCAGTGAGCCAAGATCGTGCCATTGCACTCCCTCCAGCCTGAGCAATAAGAGCAAAACTCTTGTCTCAAAAAAAAGGAAGACATACACCAAAAGGGAAACAGTGCTTGGTGCAGTAGCTCACATCTGTAATCTCAACTACTTGGGAGGTTGAGGTAGGAGGACTGCTTGAGGCTAGGAGTTGAAAACCAGCGTGAACAACATAGCAAGACCCATGCCTTAAAAGAATAAAAAGTAATTAGCCGAATGTGGTGGCCTGCACCTAGTCCCAGCTACTCGGGAGGACGACTTGAGCCCAAGTGTGAGGCTGCAGTGAGCTACGATCACATCACTGCATTCCAGCCTATATGACAGACAAGACTCTGCACTTTGGGAGGCCAAATCCCAGCACTCTGGGAGGCCGAGGTGAGTGGATCACGAGATCAGGAGTTCAAGACCAGCTTGGCCAACATGGTGAAATCCCATCTCTGTTGAAAATACAAAAAATAGCCAGACGTGGTGACATGGGCCTGTAGTCCCAGCTACTCTGGAGGCTGAGACAGGAGAACTGCTTGAACCTGACAGGCAGAGGTTGCAGTGAGCAGAAGTAGCACCACTGCACTCCAGCCTCGGTGACACAACAAGACTCCGTCTGCCCCCACCACCAAAAAAAGAAAAGGAAAAAAGTGCTTATCTTTGAGTGGTTAGCTCATAGGTAATTTGTATTTCTTATTGTTCATATGCCTTTTTCCTATTCTACAGTGAACATATATTATTTTCATAAAAAGGAAAATAACGTTTATTTTAAAAGCTGGATTCTTCTGTACAATAAGTTTCCATATCCTTTTATTTTTTTAAAATACTTGCAATTCTTTAGGTGCTTGTCCAATTGAAGTAAACTGTCTTTTGTCTGACAACAAAAAAGATATTAAAATTCAGGTAAATGGACTCTTAGTAGCAAGTTTCTTTGCATCCTGGTGAGAGATTTTCTTTATGCTACCTTGTGGGTACCTCAATAGAAAGTACTCTATGTTTTGGTCTCTGTCTTTCCATATACTGTTTAACTTCCATAAAATGTTCACCCTCCGGTTTTTCAAATGACTGAATCGTTGTGTTTTCAGATCTCAGTAGAGACTTTCAGAAAATTTCTTTTACTAAGTATTCTCAATCAGTGTGATATTTATATCCTAGTACTTAACAGAATTTGAATTATATATCTGTTTACTGACTTATTACCTATCTCACCTAAAAAACTGAAGTTTCATGAAGGCAAAGACAATGCCTATTATTTGCCAATATATTACATAATGCTTGGCATACTATCTAGCAATTAACTGACTGGATGAATGAATGACTAAATGTTTGCCAAAAGTTGACTCCGGAAACTCATGAAGACATTCTTATCTAACTGAGTTGGCAAGAATCTTATTTTCAATACTATTTAAATTTCTAAGCACTTCAATAATAGCCAGAGTCACATTTAAATGGGCATATTTTATAATGGCTGTATCAGCTGACTCACAACAGGTATAAGGTAAGAGATACCTGGCTCCAGGATTACTGATCCTTTTCATGTATCCTTTGGAAAATAAATATTCTATAACACAGAATGAGGATTTGCTACTTCAACGTCTTCTAAAGCTTCTTCTAGCTCTGACATTACTTATAAGTAAAGTACACTAATGAGAGATAATCTCAATACACTGATATTTATTACCTGTCATCCATCTCATACATATACTGATGTGTAGCCACTGAATTTTAAACCCTTTTTTGTCAGGAATCTGAACAGTGTGAGCTACTATTCTGGTTACAACTGAAATAATAGGGAGCTCTATAATAGCAAAACTCAGAAGTTTAAGGTCTCAAATTGAGAACTTAAAAACCCCAAAACAAACAGCATAAGAAAAATAGCCACAGAAGGTACAAAATAAGCACAGAGACATAACATTTTAAATACTTCCAAATATTTGGTTTCAATGCATAAATGGAGCATGTGGGCTTTCCACATCTTTTCTTGCCAAGTCCCAGGAAAAACTGACCATACTACAGTCACCTAAAACAACTGTTAGGAATGATCTTCAAATATCTGGTTTCAAAATACAGACCTATTTGCACTTTAAAACTCAGATGTATGCATACTCCCACTATAGCACTGTACTGAGATAATCCTTTTAAAGTAGGTTGCTGACAAAAACACATCTTTATTCATGGGTGAGAAGTGTTTCAAATGGACACAGCAAAATGTTAGCTAAATCTTAAAAGTCAATTGTCAGAAAAGACAATTTGCTCTGGTACCAAAATCTCTCTCTCTTTTTACTGGAAGGGCTGAATTCCACTAGTTATTTAAGGCTAAAAAGAGAGTAAATGTGAAATGTTATACTTCTAGAAGGAAGGAAAAAGTTTATGTCTACTTCACTTAATTTGTTGACTTCCTTAAACTAAGTTTCCTATTTAGCATATTGTTCTTGCAGGTACTCAATTGTAAACTATCGAATCTGTCTCACTTTGGGTTGCTGGAGAGTTCAAGCAGCCGTGAAGGATATATGTCTAGAAATAAGTCAAGTGGTTTAAAATAACCTTTCCCATACTCTAATATTATCAGCTTATTTTCTAGAACTTACATATGAGCACAGATCTAGTTGTGGTCTTACACCTCGGATAGTTATCTAACACTATAGAGAAACCCCCTGGAGACTGGGATGATAGGCATACACAGAGCATCTTCTTCTCTTCTGAGCAGACACCAATTCTGATTGATCAACTTCAATTGGCTTGATCTGTCTTAGCTTTTCTTTAAGATGGCAGCCACTGAAAATGCCTATACCTTTATCAACCACGTTGTTTTGTTTCCCTTCAAATCTTATCATTTAGGCCTTATTCCTGAAAGAGGCACTCTTAAAAAGAGAGAAGTAATAATGCAACTCAGAATACTAACTATATTTGGCATCTTACAAAATAGTAGTCCATATTCACCCTATTCTGATAGGTATTATTACAAAAATGGAAAGAATAAGACTTACAACAGTTAAGAAGTATATCCTGGGTAATACAATTGCTTAATGGGAGAAGTGGGAACTTTTTCCTTTCCCAACTTGTATTCTTCTCTTGCAGGAAACTCTAGGGATGTGCCAGAACAATTAAATTCCAGGTAGATAAAAATAGCCTTCTCTACCTTACCTCTTTATGGACCTTCCAACTGTCTACCGTCACATTGAAGAGAGCTTTGAGGGCCTCAATGGCACAGTCTGTCTCCTGAGGTGAGAGAGGAGGTCCATTATGGTCTATGGCCGATTCATACTCATCGGTCCACTTGATGCTAAAGGCACTTTCCAAGACCTGGGTTAGCAGCGGTAGTCCCTGGAGCTCATAGCGCAATTGTGACCTGATGTCGGTGTGCAAAAGTGACAGAAGGAAGAGTAGGCGCAAGTCAAAGCACTTAATGTCATTGATAAATTTCCGGTCCGTGCACTTTCTCAGGAGGTTACAGAGCTTTGCAGCAAGATTAAGTTCCAGGCTGAGCTGCTGTGCCATCTGACTGTTGAACACTATGTTACACAGACATTTTAATGACTCCACAATAACTGGGAACTCCGACACCTTTTCCAAAGAATCATCCAACTCATTTAGCTTGGCTAGTCGCAGCAGTATCTGCATATTTTCCTTAGTTGTTACAGGAACTAAAACCTTTTTGTCTCTGGAGAGAATGCGGAGTACTTCTAGGCAGGACACTTGACATGTTGTTGGGATGTCCTTTATAAGGACTTTAAATATGCCTTCACAGAGTTTCTGAAAAACAAGAACGAGTAGGCAAAAATCATTATTTGGCTCAGATGATTTAAAGTAGAATGCTTCTCTACCAATGTATTTAACAACAATTAAAGATCTGGATAGAAAAGGTTTTTTACTATTTTTTAAATCACAGAATGTTAGAAACTGAAATATAAGGTGACTGAAAAATACCTTATATTTGGTGTACTTCTTTCACTTTACAGATGGAAACTGAGGGCCAGAGAGGTTAAGTTACTTGCACTGGGACACAGTGAATTCATGGCAGAGTAAGAGCTAGAGGTATGAGTTTCCTAGCTTCCAGCCTAATATTCTTTCTATAAAATCAATTATTCTATTTTAAACTGACTAGTTTCAAATGTCTTATGTAAGTTTTGTTTTCGGTTGACTTTTTAACATCAGACTAAACATAGTATCAGGATGGAAGGCAATCAGTTTGAATCACAGCTGTTCCCTTCCCAGAAATAAAGATTAACGCCTAAAGAATTGGCTCATATTTGTCCACAGTACAGGCTCTTGCAAAAAGACTTAAAGAAGTATGCATTTCTGTTGAGTTTTAGTTGTGCTATTGCTTCTGAATTTACAGTTCTTTAGCAGTAGCCCCATGTTTCAGAAACCCCAGAACCCCCTTTAGCTAAAATCTAATAATATTTAATCATCAAATAACCCCAGAGAAGAACTTTTGCTGACAAACTGATTAAAAATTACTCCAGGTGTTAGGTTCCAAATAGAGTTGAATTAGCATATATTATGCCTTGGGCCAATTGCAAAAAGGTGACCCCTCCTGGCAGACAAACTGCAAAAAAGAGTTCCCATGGGGTGGGTAAATTATTAAAAAGCACACATGGCTTGGGAAGCTCAGATTGTGGATAGAATTTTAGCTTTCTTTTGTTCTCTTGCTGTAGGGCACAGATCATACAAATATATGCAGCAGTTCTGGTTCCAAATCTTGCTACCAGTATCTCAAAAACAATTCTAGAATGAACCCAAATATCTTATATTTCCTGAAAAGGAATTTGTTATACCATTGCCAAATTTAAGAATCACTGACCATTCCCTCAAAATTCAACATCAGCTTTCTTCTCCACAAACTGCAGGCCTGGGTCTCTCAAGCTTATTCTTATATGTGAGGCAAGAATGTATAACCACTCCATCACTGAACATTTCTGTATTCCCTTACACCTTATAAAAACAACAACTACTATTACCAATATAAGATTTTACAAAGTTTCTATTAATCTATCATCAGATTTAACTCTTTAATAAAAAGAGGCTGCCTGTGGGGTCAGACATTACGATCTTGTCAAGAAACCCTGGCTATGTGCACCCTCTTACAGTGCACATAGTCATCAGCTACAGAAATGTCTATTTTAAATGTAGTCATCCCTTGGAATCTGTGGGAAATTGATTCCAAAACCCCTACAGATAATAAAATCCACAGATGTTCAAGTCTCATATAAAATGGTACAGTATTTAAATATAACCACCTACGTACATCCTCCTGTATACTCTAAGTTATCACTAGATTATATCTAATACAATATAAATTGCTATGTAAATGGTTGTTGTATTAAGGAATGATGACAGAAAAGTTTGTACATGTTTAACACAGACGATTGTATTATGTTCTCTAAATAGATGCGGAAAGGAACTTTACTTGATAAGCCAAAAAAATTTCCATAGGTGTCAATTCTATCCCTACCATACCTGGTAATTAGAAAGGACTTTCTTTTAATGTTTTAATATTATTGTTAAAGCACTTTTTTTTGAATGAAGTTTGGGGATAGGAGAAAGTATACTGTGCCCATTATTAAAAGTATACAGAACAGGGAAAATCTTCTCGATATTTAAATCTTTCACATTCAAGACAAAGAAATTCATACGTGGTATATTCCTGGGGGTGGAGTCAGGTCACCTTTGTTTCCATACAGTTTTACTCAAGAACGAAATATCTACCTTCCTCCTTAAGTTGTGAAACATGTAATAAGGTATTATAAAATATTATATATGTGAATTTGAAGTTCTACATATCTAATAGCACACAAATATCTTTCTTCCATTCTAAACCAAAAACAACAACAACAATAAAATTTTTAAAAATGTATGGGCAGTATGACACCTTTCTTCCTAATAACTTTAGACTCAAGAAAGAAAAAGAGCAGAGCATGAAGACAAATTGGAATAGCCAGGTCTATACATAAACCAAATGGACTGAGAAACTCTAGGACATCAAAGAAATTAAAGGTACCTAAAAAATTTACAGTTAAAAACTGCTTCATCTAAAAGCTTGTAGAAGATCATCCAGCAAGCGAAGACAAGATCTTTTTGCAGTTTTTAATTACAGTTGTTCTTGAACATACCATTTCTCACTACAGACCTACCTCATACTATGACTGTTCTGTAGCTTTTCGCTATATCTCTTAAAAAAGTAATACCACATTTTGGACAATGACTCCTTTTTAAAATTATAATTTTTAGAACCAAAACCATGTGAAATACAATAAGTGATATTTAATCAACGTATCAATGCTTTACCCAATACAATAATTTCAATTTAAAGATTATCAGGAACAAATTAATAAAAGTGGTTGAAAAGGCAGCATTCTTTATAGCTCCTCTACCTGTTGAGTTTGTGCGCTGCTTCGTTTCAAAGGTGTTCTTGTATTTCCCCTTTATTTTGCCCTATCAGAACTTTTCTGTGCTATAATTACTTAAGTTGATTTTACTCTACCTAAAACATGCTCTGCTCTCCTCAAACACCTTTCACAGCTCCCTGCTGCCCACAGAGTACTGCTGAAATGTGCCCAGTGTCCTCTTTCCTACTGTTGTCTGATACACACAATGCAAATGCACAGTTTCATCTTCAGGTGTTCCCAATTGGCTCCCAGTCCCAACCATGATACATCCTGAGTATTTCCTCCACTGTTCCTTCAGTGTGGTATGCCCTGCTACCACATCCACTCATCAAGGATTGCCAAGAACTTTTTAGCAGTTTGCTCCTCAACTGAAACCCTAGAGTAGACTCTAACAGTGGTTCTCAAACTTCAACATGCCTCATAATTACCTAAAGGACTATTAAAAAACAGACTGTTGCACCTCATCCCTAGAGTTTCTGATTCAGCAGGTCTGGGATGAGGATCCAGAAATGGGACTTTTAACAAATTCCTAGTAGGTGCTACTGCTGGTCAGAATCCGCAATATGAGAACCACTGAACTATGATTAACAATGGACTGACAAAATTTGGATGTTAGGGTCAAGGGTTAACTGAGAATACCTGACCAGGTGAACACAGAGAAGCAGGAAGTCTTGAACGCCGTTAGCACAACACCTTGACTTCTCCTTCACTGCCGTGTGCTAAAGATGCGGAAGGGTGGCAGGCACAGGAATCAGATGTCACTGTCTAGTCACATTATCTTTCTTAACTTAAATATTAAAAACTGCTAGAGTGTGAGGCACATTACTTGTTTAAGGTCAGCAATCCTGGGCTTGAAATTTGTTCAACCTACCACGGACTCTAAAACCAAATCAGTGTGAATTAAGAGCAGAAGTTCTGAATTTAAATTGTTTGCATCCAAATCTTGGCTCTTCTACGTAACAATTGTGACCTTGGCAAGTTACTTAGTCTCTAGACCTCATTTACTGCAAGAATTAAATGAGATCATGCATGTACAACACTTACGGCAGTGCCTGGCAAGTGATAAATGTTCAGTACAGGTTATCTATTACACATTATTATAAGGTAAATTGTCAAAGTCCTCAGTTTGGCACTTAAGATCTACTAACCTGCTCTGAGTCTTCTTTCACACTATTTTTATCAAATTTTCCTCTTTAGCTATATTCCTTTCCAAATTATCTCACATTAGCTTTTTTGCTTTCTTACTGCCTCCCTCTCCATGTCAGTCCTTTTCCTTTTCTATTTAAATTTTAGCCGTTCTTGAAGGCTAAGCTTAAAACCCATTTTCAACATAAAATTTTCTCTAACCACTTCAGCCCTCAACATTCTTCCTTTCTAAAGGATACCTAAATCACAAATTTGTAGCAATCATTTGATGCTTAGCACATCCATCCTGTTAGTTTTCTTTTTACGAGTTTGCCTCCACTACTAAAAGCTCTCTGAAGGCAAAAAGGACATCTTTTTTACAAGAGAAGAAAATGTATTGTAGTGGCTTTTGAATCATAGACCTGAATTTAATACCTTCTTTGCCATTGTATGACGTTTTTTTTTTTTTTTAAACTAACTGTGTGTTTTAGACACTTCTGAGTCTCTTTTTTTTTTTGAGACAGTCTCGCCCTGTCGCCCAGGCTGGAGTGCAGTGGCTCGCTCTCAGCTCACCGCAACCTCTACCTCCCAGGTTCAAGCCATTCTCCTGCCTCAGCCTCCCAAGTAGCTGGGATCACAGTTGTGTGCCACCATGCCCGGCTAATTTTTGTTTTTTTAAATAGAGTCGGGATTTCGCCATGTTGGTCAGGCTGGTCTTGAATCCCTGACCTTGTGATCTGCCTGCCTCAGCCTCTTAAAGTGCTGGGATTACAGGTATGAGCCACCGTGCCCGGCTTCAGTTTCTCATTTTTAAAAAAATGAGAGTAACATCCATACCTCACAGGGATGTTATGAAACAGACCCTGGGGCATAATAAGCACTCTAATAGTTACTATTATGTTTTATTTCTTCATAATCTTAGTTGCTCTTAAGAGAGCAACTAAGCAACTAGAACATAATAAGCATCCTCCCTCCAACTCAAAATAAATTAAGAAGTTCCTTAAATCTCAAGCATTAGTAGAGGTCTATTAATAATGTCTTGACACTTCTCCTTTCTAAGAAGGAAAGAAAGTAGTAGGCGCTATTCTTGTGATTGTACTGGTAGGGTGGTTTACCCCCCTGGGTAAAAGTATTTTCACAGAAGTAGCAGAAGGTATGTACCTTCATGTAAAGTTCTTTTTTCTGAAGAGTTTAAATTACCTATACGGATATGCTCTTGAAAATACAGAATAAAACTGT